CTCGGCTATGAAAATATAAACGTTGTCGATCTTAGGAAGAGAATGATAAATATAGGAAAGGTGAGAGATAAGTATACATCCAATTGTAAAATTACTTCAGTTTTACCCCCATGTGTCACGCCGTAGACCGTATCTAAGCGCGTATACATACCGCCGCACAATCAAGTGACGTCACCCGCAAGTCAACCTTACATGATTATACAAGACATCCATGAACATAGTTCATAACTTGCATAGTAAGTAAACATACATAAAAACATCACATTTAAACCACTGAATAACGGAAATATTCAACGGTAAATCATGGGTCACATTCGGCCAAAACATGGGCTCGCAGGACCAAAACAGTTTATAGTAGTTCAAATATCCATGAGTTGACTTCACTTATACGAAGGTGCAGATAGCAAGTTTTAGCTTCAACCTGAAAATGGTAGGGCTCCCGGAGGGGGCAATAATGAACTCGTACTGGTGAAAAGCAGACTAAATGTAGAATAACTAATGTGTCAAGCATAAGACCCAAACACAGGGTGAGACATATACTCATATTTCTTCCCACAAGTTTTGAAATACATTTAAGTATATAAACTTGGAAAACACCCGACCCAAGGTCATTGTTTACTTGGGAAATAATAGTAGTCATAATTTTTTACTTAAAATCTCAATCCCACAAAAATACCAATGAGTAATGAGTGTATATGACTCCTTGTCCAATCAACTATTCTAAGGACATCGTCCGGTTCTAAAGTACTAAACGATAGTCTATGAATAGTGAGGACAATATTGTCCCTGGGTACTAGCTCCACCAATTCAATTATATTCCGAGTTTTGAGGACAGTCTAGTCACTGGGTACTCCACCAATTATAAACCGAGTTTTGAGGACAATCCAGTCCGCTCCTGGGTACTCCACCAATTGTATTCCGAGTTTGAAGGACAATCCAGTCCTTGAGTACTCCACCAATTGTATTCCAAGTTTTGAGGGCAGTCCAGTCCCTGTGTACTCCACCAAATCCTATGGGTCTACCACATTTCATACATAGATAAGGTCTATTAATCATAAATCAAGACTAAACCAAGTATTATAGCCTAAGCACAACAGCCCTTGCAAACCATGCAAATAAATCATGTTGGGCAAAAAAAGGACCAAACTGGCGCCAATTTTGCCTATAACCGGCTTCGGTTCCATTTAATTTTACTAAATGGCAAAACTCGTACTCAAACAAGTGCCGCTTCAAGCCCTGACTGGCGCCAGTTAACTGCCATTTACGTGGTCAACGGTTCGTTGACCGCCCGAATTAACTCCGATTGATCCGAAACTTAAGCACAACGTGTTTTAAGTCTTAAAAAGTTAATATATGCCATTTTGGCACTTCAAAACATCACATATGTTTTTATATACATTTTCATACTATTTTCGTGCATATCGTTATAGTTTAATTCATATAAGCTTAATCATCTTGACTAATCACATTCTTAAATTCTTTTAAACATCATTATGAACACATATAACATTTACTTAGGTAATCTCATACTTAACCTAAGAATTATAAGATGTTAAGCCGTCTACTCACCTCAAATAAGTTTTAAGAAGTTCTACGTTCTCCAATTGAACTCCGACGAAACTCCGGCGAACTTTAATTTTGATGAACTCTGACGATACTCACCTCAAATAAGTTTTAAGAAGTTCTATGTTCTCCAATTGAACTCCGACGAAACTCCGGCGAACTTTGGAAACTATCTCAGCTCCGTGAGAGCACTAGGAACACCTTATACAAGTTCCTAACAAGGTTTAAATATCTCAAAACCAACATTTATAGAAATAACCTCGATCTAAAATGTTATTTTCCGGCGAACCGGTCACCTTGGCTTTTAAGTCTGTTCTTGGACTTAGAACCACATTTCAACCCCCCATTCTATTATTCTAAACTTATAGAACAATTCTAGGGGTTTTTTAAATAACTTATTTAGTCATATAAACTTAGTTGAAAGAAGGAAAGGTAACCATGAGGTCATGATTACCTTAATTCTCCCAAGTTTTTCCTCACTTTTCCTTCTTTAATCTTTCTTTTTGGATCTTCTTTTCTTGAGCTTGAAATTTGACTATGAGGATGGGTTTGAGAGCTTTTCTTATCACATTGGATAGCCTTGGTCGAAGTGGGTAGGGAGGACATGGAGGAGACATTCTTTTTGTCTCAAATGCCAATCATGTGGGGAAAGGATCATTCACCTTTAATTTCAAAGGTGTCTCACCTATCCCCCACCCATCCATACACATCACTCCCATGTTTCTACAGGCCCCAAGTCAACTGTTGTGTGTATAAGTTCACGGGGTAGCCCCCACTCTTGTGGGGGTCATTCCTTTATGTGAATGTACATATATTTGATTCCGAAAGTTGTATTTCTCGGACTGTTTTAATTAAATTTTATTTTATCGGGCCAAATAAAATATATATCATCCTCCCAATTAGTATGAGCCTCTATAATGAATATATATTCCTCAAGTTTAGATTTTTGGTCTTCATAATTTATTACGGGTTGTTACCTGTCAAAATACTAATACCGGTATATGGGCCTCTTTGATCAATCAGCCAACTCTATGTCGTTCCTATGGCCCAACTTGAATATACGCTATCAAATAAATATTATCGGGTGGTCCCCGCTCCTGGTGTGGCCTCACGTGTGTTTTACTATTCACGTAAAAGTAATAATAAAAAATTTACAATCTCGTAAATTCTTTAACCATTCATCAAGGTTGAATACAAAATTTGATAACAAGTAAATATACTTGGGGGTGTTCTTACACCACGTGCAGATCAGTTGTAGGAAAATGCATATGTAAATTTGAAATCATTCCTCAACTATTTGTTAACTCTCTTGACTCCTTATAAAAAGCCTTTTTATTTTATTCTTTGAGAGAAAAAAGCCTTATTATTATAGCTTGCCAGATATGCATTTATTTATATAAATGGATGTGGGTGCTTCTACGGTACCCACAAAAAAAATGAGGAATTGGCTACGAATGTGGGTGCTTCTACGTATACATAAATCTACGTTAGACAATATTTTTATCTTTAGGCATAGGGAGTAAATCGCTGTCAAAAAATTAACTTGCTAATTCCGGAGGACTGATCGAAATGCAAAATATAAATTTTTATATTAAGATGACTAGGCTGCCAACTTGACAACATGTCAAAATTTGATTGGATTAAAAGAGAGTGTACGGGTACCTTCTACATTTAATGATGCACCGTACATTTTTCCCAAGTACTCGTATATATCTGTTCATTGTACGGAGTAATATTCTAAGGACACGTGTACTTCATTGGTTACTAAACGGTGTTTATTAAGATTCGCATTAATAAGTGGTGCATAAAATAAGCAATGTTGTAAGATCATGTTTACTTCAAAGGATTTAAAACACCGTTTAATATTAAAATGTCCAAAATAACCGTATACATATATAGACACACAAACATTCATGAACACAAGTATATAATATAATATGTGGGATCACCTCGTACGTGTACTCGTACCCCTAACCCCTACCCCGCCCTATACATCCGCATACCCTACCCCTACCTTACACCTTACCCCCAATTCCGCACCCTTGACCCCTATATAGAAATTCTGCGCATCAGCCCCGTGTAATTTAAAAAATGCGACAAATTACCTTGTGTTTTAATTAATCGTGCGCAAAATCTCTTCCATTAACAAATTTAATTGTCAAACAAAAGAAAAATGATTAACATTTTTGTATGATTTAGAGACTTAGACATATTTACTTGCATACTGAATAAAAATATTACGATAAGTGATTTTCAAATCATTAAATTTATTCATAAAGGGGTTTGTGTATGATTAATTAAAACACAAGGGGGTTTGACGCATTTTTTTAAATCACAGATGGCTAATGCGTTGAATTTCTATATCACGAGTGAGTTTGGTGGCTCAGATTAGAAGATTTTATGGATTTTTTAATGTACTTAATTGGAGGAACAATTATCAAACGTCTAATTTTCCGGCCCTTGCTTGCGCGAGGAAATTTCACAAAAAGTAAAGATAAAAGAATATATATGCATTCGTTATTTGAATACATGAACGTCCATATTCTAGTAATTAATAACAAGATAGCACTTAGTTTAGAGGAGAACATATTACATTTTTATTTGTTTTTAAAACGTTTATTTATGAATCGAAGGAGTAGTATCGACTAAAATGACTTTGTAACATTCTGTAATTATTTGCGGGAAGGCCACTTCAATGTTACTATGCAAATTGCATTATACTCGGTCAATATATGGTTTCACATATAATTATTCCGTATTACACTTGCAACCTGTTTTCGGCTTTTCACTCAATAGGTACAAAACAACATAGTTTAGCATTCAACCATTATACCTATCATGAGATAGAGCTAGAGGAAGACGAAAACTGAAGCTTTTCTCAATCTGATTTTCAAGTAGCTTTCTTTTCATTAATGATTAAAGTATGACTTCTGACTTATGAGTGAATAATTTTTGGGTTTAATCTTATTCGTTTCGGTCTTATGTAGTTTGATACGGAGTATAATTTTAGATATAACGTTACGAGTGGTCTTCTTGTCAGGCCGGCATGACGGGATGCTCCGTCCGGCCGAGCCCGTTTCGGCACCTTCCCGGTGGAATTTTTTGATGAAAGTTTTTGAGCATATTCCTCATCAAGGCTAGTTTGTCCATACCAAATTTCAGCTCAAAATTCGATCGGGAAGGCATTCAAATCATTTTTTGAAGTTGACTGCAGTTTTATATGTATATTTTGACGCAGTCAACTTCAAAAAATGATTTGAATGCCTTCCCGATCGAATTTTGAGCTGAAATTTGGTATGGACAAATTAGACTTGATGAGGAACATGTTCAGAAAATTTCATCAAAAAATTCCACCGGAAAGGTGCCCAAACGGGCTCGGCCGGACGGAGCATCTCGTCAGGCCGGCCTGACATGAAGATTTGTCATAACGTTACTAGCAGGCATTACAAGTTAGATATTATTGATTGGACTGATATGATCCCATACACATGAGGATCGGAAAAGAATCCTTATCAAGGGCATTACAATATAAAACACATTGAAATAGTCACAGATTTTGTAAGGGATCGCAGTATAAAAAATTCTTGACAAATGCTTTTGTGAGGAATTTTGTCAGAGATATTATCCCTGGCTCCAGCACCCTCACAAAACAATTGTCAGGGATTTTGTATCCGTGACTAATTAGTCCTGGTTACGGGTTCAATATTAATCACCAATAAACACATTTAGATGTAACATTTTTAGCTGTTTACCTTACAAGTCCCTACTAGAGAACAAACAAACACACAAACTAAAAAGAGTATCTTCACTATGAGCATCCCATAAAATTGTCACTTTGAGCTATAAAGAGAGTCCAACTCGTCGGCTCAATTGGAACCGGACCAATACTCCAACTGATTCCGCGATCCAACCGTTCCGGTGTGGTTTTAGTATACATAATCACTACAAAAAAGCCATGATTGTAATCGATAAATTAAAGTCGAGAATGTTTTATCAGTCATGAAGCTAAGAATACAAACATCTGATAGAAATCAATTAAACAATTGCAGATCAAAACATGAAGTTAAAAGATCCATATGCTGTTTTAAGCCTAGAAAACTTACAAAAGTGCTAACTTCATACATAGAAACTTAATACACCAAAACCCTTCGTAATATATAAATTACGCCCATTAAACCTTTGCCATATAAATATGCATCAAATATTAAGCCTAGAATTTATTTATTTATTTTTTATTCAAAAAAAAAAAATATGCATCAAATAACAACCGTACTTTGTAAGATAAATTCCATTTTATAAACCTAGGCAACATAACATAGAACATGCTACTATGCTGGATTAGTAAAATATACTATATGCATGGGCGTAGTTAGGAAAGGGCCAGCCCAAATTTTAAAAATGTCTACAATTTTAGTGGAAAAATTCCGTGTAAAAAAATTCAAAAATATTATTTGTACCGGCCTAGACCGGCCCAGTGCTCTGACTCCGCCCTGACTATATGTATATCACATTATGTATATGACATTTCACTACTGTTATTACTGACTACTGTTATATACTCCGTATTATACTACTATACTAGTATTACTAGACATAAGAATACATCATAGATAAATTATAAATGACATTCATGATTAATTCCTGCCTCTCTCTAGTTGAATATAGGGGTAATTTGAGTTTGCGCCACATATTATTGTTTGAATTGGACTTTGCACCCCATTTTAAAAATCTTTGCTTTTGCACCCCATTTTAAAAATCTTTGCTTTTGCAACCCAACCCCGTATGAAAAGACAAAATGCCCCTTGATCATTAAGAGCCCGTTTGGTAGCACGAAAATCGGCTGATTTGGCTGATTCTGCTGAAATTTATGAAATCCTAGCTGAATTGGCTGCATTGGCTGATTCTACTGATTTAAGAAAAAAATATTTTTAAAATATATTTTATTAATAACATAAAGAAAAAATTATATGTAAAAATATCTAAAATGATCATATACAGTAACTTCAGTCAATGCAGCCAGAAAAGTAACCCCGACCTTACTTTTGCTGCTTATTACACAATTCAGCGCGCGAAAGCAAAAGTTACGTGTTTGGTGAAAAAGTTGGCTGATAAGCCCGATAAGCCGAAAACGGTGGTTCCAAACGGCCTCTAATATGTTGAAGGCTAACAAAATGGTTAATGGAGGGACATTTTTGTTTTTTCATACGGGGTAGGAGTGCAAAAATAAAGATTTTAAAAAACGAGATTCAAAATTCAATTTGGACAATAATATGAGATGAAAACGTACTCAAATTACCCCTTGAATATATTTATGACATATTGTATACATTATTTATCCAACCTCACATACACAATAATACATATGCATATTTCTTTTGTTTGTTATGGAGTAAGTTTAAAAATATATTCGTATATTGAATTGTTTAATTACCTCAGTTACCACCAGGAGGAGAATAGCTATGTCTCTCGTTTGGACCGGCTAATTGATAATCATTTATCTCTATATCCATTCTTCCCCTTCCCTTCGATATTAACCCAAACTCTTCCCCTGCTCCCAGAATTGGCACCATCTCACTTTCTTCCATCAAAGCCTATTTGTATAATTTTATGCATATATATACAAATACAATTAAACAAAGGAATTGAATATTATGCAGAGAGAGAACACTTCATGTGAGAATGTGATTCCCATTAAGAATTCAAGGGCATTCCTTTTTTGAACAATTAACAATTCCAGATTTCCATCTAGGATCTCGATTTTTCGGTCGTTCATAAGAGTGAAGTAATAATTTTAACCATTGGAGCTTCAATTTGTGCCAAAAAAGACACTAAAAACTTACTGTTTCAATTTTAGACGGAAAATTTTAGAAAGATATATATGACTCTAGTATAGAGTAATATATCATTTGTGGCATAACCATAATCAGACATTTACATAATGGGATCATCAACTATAGTTGCACTTTAGAAATAAGGGATTATAATAAAAGCCACATGTACATATATATAATTTCATAGTCCCTAAAACTGTTGGCTTTAGACGTTGACTAATAGTTAAACTTAATTCAACCCCAACAAATGTGTAATCTTTAGTAAAAAGTACATTTTTCAAAATTAATCTTCTAAAAGTTAACTTTAATAGTTGATGACTTGATTCTACGAAGTACAACTAACGGGAATTCGTCTCCCTTCAGGCGCATCTTATATAAACTACCCTATATATAATGAGAAAAATAAGGAGCAATAATTTAATAAAATTGAATTAATAAATCACCTCAGCTTGATGTGCTTTATCTTCACGGCCAATTTCCTTAACATGTCCTGCTTACAAAAAGGGAAAAAAACTATGAAACAAAAGAAACACATACCGAATTGAACAATTTAATTTCATGAAGGTATGCACATATATAAACATGTATGAGTGTATGGGTTAATTAATCAATTAATTAATTACTATTACGAGATGAGGCTGAAAGAGGATAGATGAGAGAGGACAGAGCAAGGAAGAGCACAAAAATCTTGTGGATCTGCATGAACTCCAATTGGAAGCAAGAGCTAAAAAGGTAATGAAAGAGAAGAAGACACGAAGAGAAAGTGAGAAAAGTTTTTGTTGTTGAGGCAATCTGTGTGTTAATAATAATTAATAATATATAGTCTAGGGACATATTTTGTAATTTCATAACTCTTGGTTAATTATAAATATATCATGAGCACACCCTATTAGGGTGAGTCATTATTCCACAAATATCTTTGCATATGGTATCAGTTGCCTAGGTTAACCCTAGTTGTACGTGTCACCTCTCTTTCTCGTTACCATGGCCGATTCCACGGATACCTCCTCTTCTACAGCCACGTCGTCTTCAACTTCGACGGCGGCTATGATGATGGCGCCCGTATCTTCATCGGCGCAGCCTTCCTCTTCTACGGTGCTTAATTCTCCGGTGAATTATGCTCTCAGGCCACGGCCATCGTTCCAGGCACCTCCTGCGAATTCTTACCGTCTCTTTAATATGCCGGAAGCCTTCACATGGACTCCAACATCATATACTGCCGCACCTTCCTCCGCTGCACTTTATACATCCTCTTCGTCGGCTATGCTTTCTGGAACGATGCCTCAGTCAATGTCACATGCCACATATTCTGGTCCGACCTTTTCAGGACAGCCCGGCATTGCTCCTTTGCCGCAGCAGTTTCCTCACATGCCAGGTTTTTCAAATTCTCCTCCTTATTTGTCATCTTTGGCTTCCCAGTTGGCGTTTTCCACGCCTAACGTAACCAATATAGTTACAACTCGGTTGAGTGCGGTTGAGGATTATCTCCCGTGGCGAACTCAATTCGAATCCTTCCTCGTTTCCCATGGTCTTTTTGGGATTCTAGATGGATCCGTTTTGGCTCCGCCCACTTTTACTTTGGATGTTCATGGTCGGGAAGTCCCTAACCCGGAGTACCATCAATGGCTTAAGATCGACCAAACCATCCGATCATGGTTATTTGCTACTTTGTCTCGGGACATTTTAATGGAGGTTCATGATTTGAAAGTTTCGGCTCGCATTTGGGAGTGTCTTCAGACCCGATTTCAGTCAGCCTGTTTGGCCAGGTCAATGGAACTTAAGCGTTTACTTTCCCACATTAAGAAGAAAGAAAACCAAACCATAGATCAATATCTCTTGGAGATTAAAATCCTGGCAGACTCCTTGAGTTTGATTAATTCACCTGTGAGTAATAAGGATTTAATTGAGTATGCTATCAATGGGCTTGGTCCAGCTTATGAATCGTTAATTACTGCTGTCACCTACTTCCCTGGAGATGCGACTATTGAGAGCTTGAGGCCTATTCTCCTTGCACAAGAACAAAGAAACATTCTGTTTAGCTCTCAGGATCCACAAATCACGCACCAGGCTTTTGCGGCTGCACGTGGGGGACCACCGGTAGATCGTGGAGGTGCTGCCCGCGGCCAGGGGGGCAGGCTTCATGGTAACCGCGGTAATAGGGGAGGCCGAGCTCGCGGACAGAGGGGCCGTGGACGTGGCTATGGTCAGAATTTTCAGAATCAACAAGGCAATTATGTCCAGAATTTTCCGCCGCCGCAACAGCCCGGTTATCCTCACGGTCAGCAGCCTTATGGAGCTCCTCGTGGTCAATTTCCTTCGGGAAACTCAGGTACACTATTAAGTAATGTCTCGTCTGGTTGTTCATATTTTAATCATTTATCGTATTGCGGTACTAATAGTGTTAGTGCAGGTTTTCCGTCTGTGGATAATTCTTATCAATCTCATCCGCCCCCAGTTGTTTGTCAAATCTGTTTCTCCCCAGGTCATTCGGCTCTTACATGTTCTCGGTTTCTGGCATCGTCTACTCCAGCTCTGGCTGCTATCCCCTCGGGTGAAACAAATAGCTCTGTGTGGTATCCTGATTCGGGAGCATCGGCTCATATGACACCTCATGAAGGTATTTTATCTTGTAAATCTCCTTATACTGGCTCTAAAAATGTGCAAGTAGCTAATGGTACTAAATTACCCATTTCTCATGTTGGTAATGTTACTTTAAATACTGTCGGACGCCCGTTATCCTTAAACTCCGTTTATCATGTCCCACACCTCAAATTTAATTTATTATCTATTCATAAATTGTGTGCGGATAATGATTGTACGGTGCTTTTTAATAAAAATTCTTTTCTTATTAAGGACAATCAGACGGGGGTACATCTACTTCAGGCTTCCAATAAAGACCATCTATATCCATTCCATGCCCTTCAGACTACGCTTGTTTCTGGACCTACATGGCACAAACGTTTGGGGCATTGTGGTGATCGAGTTTTACACACGCTTCGGCAAAAACATTTTATTTCTTCTACTAGTACTTTTAATCATGATTGTGTTTCTTGTAAGTTGGGAAAATCCCATAGACTACCTTTTCAGGATGTTATTCATTCTTGTACTGCTCCTCTTGAACTTATTCACTCAGATGTTTGGCAATCGCCTGTTTTATCTAATCTTGGTTATAAATATTATGTCTCTTTTATTGATGATTTTTCTCGCTATACTTGGGTTTATCCCATGCGTCGTAAATCTGAAGTTTTTTCTCATTTTTGCAATTTTCAAACTCTTGTTGAAAATCTTTTGGATAGAAAAATTAAGTCTTTTCAAAGTGATGGAGGTGGCGAGTTTGACAACACCATTTTTCAAAATCATTTTTTAAAATCAGGGATTTTATTCCGCAAGTCTTGTCCCGATACACCTGCCCAAAATGGTGTAGCTGAACGCAAGCATAGGCATCTTCTTGAATTAACTAGGACCATGTTAATTGAATCCTCGATTCCTCCTAGTTTTTGGGTAGATGCTCTATATACCGCCACTTATATTGTCAATCGCTTACCCACACCGCTTTTGAAAAATTTAACTCCTTTTGAAAAACTTTTTAATAAATCTCCTGATTTTAATTTTTTGCGTATTTTCGGGTGTAGCTGTTTCCCAAACTTTATTGCCAAGTCCTCTAATAAACTCTCACCTCGCTCCACTCATTGTGTTTTTCTGGGATATGCCCCGGGTTATAAAGGGTACCGTTGTTTAGATCCTGTTTCAGGTAGAGTTTACATTAGCCGGGATGTTCAATTTCATGAGCATGATTTTCCTTATGCCCGCCTTCTTTCCTCTAAGTCCACCTTCCCTACTTCTAACCTATTGTCCTCTTGGCTACACACTGTTCCTACCTCTAGCACCATTCCTCCCAGGACATCCGTAAGCCATGAACCACATTCCCCTCCAGTCGAAGTTCTTCCCAGCTCCATAGGAACCTCCACACCCACAGTAGGTACACCAGACAATCCCCAGGCCTTCCCACCTGTTTCTTGTCCTAGTCCGTGCATCCCGCACAGTTCCCAGACCACGCCTGACCACCCAACTGAACCCAGCTCCCTCCAGCCCACGGCAGATCATCATTCCTCACCGCCTGCACCTAGTTTTCCCACCGACTTGCCTCTCTCTTCCTCTCCCTCTAGCTCGCCACCGTCGTCTCCCGAAAGTCCAGCCCCTCCTATCAATATTCATCCTATGAGAACCCGAGCTAAAGATGGAATTTTTAAGCCTAAAAGCATTTTTAATTTAAGTGTTTTTGCGCCCCCTGATGATCCTACCTGTTTTTCTCAAGCTCAAAAATTTTCTATTTGGCGGGCTGCCATGGCAGATGAATTTAATGCATTACTTGCTAATCAAACTTGGGAATTAGTACCTTGGGACGGCACTAAAAATATAGTTGGTTGTAAGTGGGTTTACAAGACAAAATATAATTCTGATGGTTCTGTTGAGCGCCACAAAGCGCGTTTAGTTGCCCAAGGATTTAAACAGCAGGCTGGTATAGATTTTACTGAAACTTTTAGTCCTGTTGTTAAACCCACGACTGTTCGCTTGGTCTTATCAGTTGCGGTCTCACTTGGGTGGTGTATACGTCAATTGGACGTTAAAAATGCGTTCCTTCATGGTCACCTCACTGAAGAGGTTTACATGCGTCAACCACCTGGTTTTATTCATCCATCTTTTCCTCATCATGTGTGTCGTCTTAAAAAGGCTTTGTATGGTCTCAAACAAGCTCCACGAGCTTGGTTTCATCGTTTTAGTGGTTTTCTTTTGACTCATGGATTTTCACAGAGTAAATCTGATTCCTCTATGTTTGTTTTTAGGGATCGTTCTCAGGTGATTTATATACTTCTATATGTGGACGATATTCTAATAACTGGTTCTTCTTTGTCTTTTGTTCGGTCCATCATTCATTCCTTATCCACACAGTTTGCTATGAAGGATTTGGGGGATATTCATTTTTTCTTGGGTCTTCAAACTCGTCGTACGTCTCAGGGCTTATTTATTTCTCAGCAAAAATATATCTCTGATTTACTGCGACGTTTTCATCTTCACACCATCAAACCAGTCCGAACCCCTCTACCTTCACGCACCACTCTCTCCCTCACAGACGGCGAACTTCTCTCTGATGCTACTGAATATCGCAGCATGGTAGGTGCATTACAATATTTGATTCTGACTAGACCTGATATTACTTATGCTGTGCACTTGGTTTCTCAGTTTATGCATGCTCCACGCACTACTCATCTTCTAGCTGTGAAGCGTATTTACAGATATTTGCAGGGCACTGTGGACTATGGCCTATGGCTCCAGTCCAAACCCGATATTTCTCTTCTTGTTGCTTATTCAGATGCAGATTGGGCTGGATGTCCGGATAGCAGCCGGTCCACTACAGGTTATGCTATTTTTTTGGGCCCCAATCTCATTTCATGGAGATCCAAGAAGCAGCCAACAGTGTCTAAGTCCTCTACTGAAGCAGAATATCGTGCCATTGCTTACACGGTTCAAGATACCCTATTCATCCGCTCATTACTTACTGACATGGGTATCCCTATCTCTCGTCCTGTTCAGCTTCATTGTGATAATGTTTCAGCATCCTACCTGGCGGTAAATCCTATTCAGCATGATCGTAGCAAACACATCAAAATTGATTATCATTTTGTTCGCGAAAGAGTGGCTCACGGCGATCTGGTGGTTAAATATGTCCCTACTCAATTGCAGTTAGCTGATATTTTTACTAAGAATTTATCTAGTCAGCGTTTTGAGTTTTTACGTTCCAATCTGCGCGTTGTTTCCCCTGCACAGATTGAGGGGGTGTAATAATATATAGTCTAGGGACATATTTTGTAATTTCATAACTCTTGGTTAATTATAAATATATCATGAGCACACCCTATTAGGGTGAGTCATTATTCCACAAATATCTTTGCATAATAATGACCTACGGGCTATAAGGCTGGCAAGATTAGAATTTGAGGTCATACATACATATATATGTACATATATGTGCATTCTTGCTAAGGATGGCGATGGGTGCGCGGGCCCGCCCTGGGGAAAAGTGGGGGTTGATATTGGGATGGGGCGAATGCGGGATGGTGGAATTATTTGCCCCGCTTAAATATGGGGCGGGTAACTCTTTTTATAAAACTAGTTTTGTCGAAAAAGGCGGTCATCTCCCTATGTAATTCGGGTTGGAAGTGAGCAACTTTTGCAATTTTTTGTTGCTCTCCGGCATTTGGGTCGGTCGTCCTCGGCGAACCCCTTCGTTCCACCTTTTCGTTTTTGTTTTAGCAATTTCAGGTTTATTTTTGAATTTCGGCTTCGTGGGCTACGAGAAGGAGAAGACCGCAGGGTGCTGTTTTCCATCGAGCGTGAAGACAAATTTGCAGCAAGGCAGGGGCACTGTTTCGAGTGTCAGCAGGCTATTGTAATATTATGGCAGAGATGGAGGAGTTGGTCAACAAATGTAATAACATGATGCTCAGGGGTGATGAGGAAGATCTGATCCTGGACGGGGATGTCGCGGGCGAGGAAGAGGCTCCGAACAGGAGCCTATGGGCGAAAGAAGACGAAGAGATGTTGATCTGTCCCCCTCCCGAACCGCCGCCATGGAGAAATTGTGCGACTAGGGTTTGGACAACTATTTCTATTTCTGTTTTACTTTGTGCTTTTACTTTGAACTACATGTTGTTATGTTTGTCATGTACGTTTATTTTTGCCAAACTCTTGCATTAGTTTGGGGTGATGAGGGGTTTACTCTAACCACGTTAGGCTCATTTAGACCCATTACAGGATCAACGAACTATATTACTTTTTTTTTTCTGGGTGATTGACTTTAAGACTGGTTCGAGGGTCGGTAATTGATCCTTCTTTTATCTTCTTGTTCCCTTGCTGAATGCTTTGATATCAATTTAAGCTGCCTTGTTAAAAAAAATATGGGACGAGTGAGCATTATGCGTAATGCACTTTGCCTGGAACAGATTCTTTACAGATAAATATTAACTTATTAATATATTTGTCTATTGGTGGATACAAAAATGTGTACAATAAGTAAAGCTGAATAAGGATGTTTAATTTTCTTTTGGACTGTTTTCAGTCCCAGACTAGACCAGACCAGACTTTCATAATTATAAAATACATAGAGACCAGACGTCTACCAGACCAGACCAGATCAGTTCAGACCAGACCAGACCTGACCAGATCAGACTAGACCAGACCAGACCAGACCAGACCAACAAATTTTAGTCCAAAAGAAAACATCCTAAAAATAACAGTTGTGAGTATAACTCAATGTCCAATGGTCCTATATCTACTTTCAGTTCTTGAGAAGTTCCACACTTACTTATCTTCTCATTTTCTTTTCAAGAATGGTTAGCTTAATATTATTAATACAAATAAGTGTAACACGGACACAACTTTTATCATTAATATGTATTATTATGTGTCAGTAAAAGAATAAAAAAATCAAATATAAAAATTTACAATGAGACAAATTTAACTATGTTTTAAAAGTAATTTGTCAATACATTAATAAATAAAGTGTACTCAAAGTAGAACACGCGAATAGTTTAAAATTCAACATATTGCATTTATTTAATAACGGAGGAAGGAAGTATATTTTTCCATTTTTACATCTCAATCACAAGTATACATTTCTAATTTATTATTAAGTGTGTCAATTTAAATTAACAAGAAAATACGAGATGGAGATAGCATTTAAGAAAACAGAATTATTTTTATAGATAAAAATTTACAATATACAAGAAATTTAAATTTTCACTTTTATGATTACTCTCATAAACTTAAGAAGTCGTAGATTACATAAATATATCGAATCATGATAGTATCAGTCAAAAATTTAATGTTTTCAACGAAAAAAGTCAAACCTTGATAAATCTAGTAGGAATGGAGTAAATATAGTCTTTACAACTTTAGTGTGTGAATTAATTCATGTACTTCCATCAAAGAGTTCACACCTGTACATTATTTCCACTACCTTGTAATAGTCACACTGGTTGTCCCTGCCATATAATAGGTTCAAGCGAAAGAGTCCATAAAAGCGAGTGAGTGGCATGTAAAGATTTCAATCAATCCCAAGTGGGCAGTAGAAAATGGAGGACCACACACACAAAAACATTATTAGAGTTGCACAACCAATGACCCATGATATTCTTCCTGATAATGATAAGTCTATTTGTACTTATCTATTGAAGCTGATGTACACATATGTTTTAGAATCGACAGAAATATAATTATGTTAAACTATAAGTAATATTGGAATTGACTGAATTGGCTGATTCTGCTAAAATTTATGAAGTTCTGACTGAATGAGTTGTATTGGCTGATTCTGCTGATTTTGCTGAAATATATGAAATTTTGTCTGAAGTGGTCCGATAAGCTGATTTTGTTAATTTATGAAAAAATTATACTACGTATTTAAAATATATTTTATTAATAAAATGAACAAGATATTATATGAAAAATAAGTAAAATGGTTGAATACACTAACTTCATTATGCGGTTAATTTAGTCAAAAAATAATTTTAATCTTACTTATTTTTTGATTACGTAGTACAGAGTATTATATAATTCAACGCGGGAAATTACAAGTTTGTGAAAAAGTTGACGCCCCGAACTACCAAATGGTTGACTCTATTGCAAGTTTTCAATCTTATGTACAACCCTCTTCATTTTTCTTATCGGTGTGAGGAACATGTACAGTAATCTTTTTGTTTCAAATCAAATGTCAAATACTCAAATATATGAGTCGTTGACTTATTATTGGACATATGGATACCGGCATGACCACTACCAGCACATACGTGAGTGAGGGTCTGAGGGGCAATTTGCACGCTTCTTAGCTAGCCGTCATTATTTTAAGCACTATTGCGCACAATGTAATTTTAGTGTCTTAAATTGTACTGCATGTTCAAATATCAAATTAAAATGCCTACACAAAAGTGTGCTAATGAAACTTCTGTCTGTTTACCAAAAATACCGAGACATTAGTAAAAATATGTAATTATATGGTGTGGTCTAAATAATGAAATTTCTGAAGGGAGATTTGGTTTTTTGATCTAGTTCTGGTCGATCAACTCATGCGTTGCACATTAAAAATTACTTTACATGTAGTCTGATGAGGAATAATGTTTTTGATATAAAATTAAATTGATAATATAAAAATGTCTAAGTAAGATAACTAATGAATGATAGATTGAAATTAAATTTCAAATTTAGACTATGTATAAAACTTTATGAAATTAAAGATAATAAAAAGTCAAATAAATCAAAGATAAAACCATAGAAACATAATTTATAACTAGTACATTTGAAAGATATAATTATGGAAATTTCGCCACATAACTATTCCATCCCATTTACAAATATTCCTAAAAGCTACGTAGTACTTCATTCCTTAATTCTTGATTATACTCTGCAGATTAATCTTAAGCTTTCTCATATATTTCAATTTCAACTCCTCCTAAAAAGTCTCACTCCTAAAAGCAGGGGCGGATCCAGGATTTCACGTTGGGGTGGGCTGAAAAACTTAATTGATAATACATTGAATTTTTTTCAAAATAAGCAAAAACTCAAATATAAATTTGTTAACAATAGAGTCTACATCTATACTGAGGGTAATTTCTTTTCGATATAAACTCGTCAACAATAGAGTTTACATCTATACTGAGAGTAAGAAAGTAATCATCCATTTTGTTGCAGAGTGTTGTCTTTTGATGTTTCACGGCAGAAAATGATATTCTACGGTTGCAGTAGAAACAATAAGATCGATACAAAGCGAATCAATCTACTCATTATAACATATGAATCGGATCTTTTGCTCTTAGCTCTAGTCAACTCATCACATAATTTAAAAAGTGTAGATACTTGAAACTTTGTATCATGAATCACATAATGAACGTAGTGTTGTAGCTCTAATTTCAAAGCATGAATGTTCTGACTACTAAAATCTTCAGGATAGAACTTCCTTGCAAGAGTACAAATTGCATCAACATTGAACAACTCATATGATTTTTTTGGATCCAATGAAGCACTCAAAGAAAGGAGTTCCACTGATTTATCATTAAATGGGTCTGTAACTCTATAAAAAAAGTCTTATTGAAATCGTCAAAGTGATAATGATGATCAACTGTAGTTTATTTTCGGCAACAACCAACCATATATTTAGAAATTAGAATTCAAGTCCGGTGCATGAATTAATTTTTTTGAGCAAAACTCATTTACTTCTTCAAGAAAACCTTCCCATCCATTTTCGGTCAATTCCTAAAGAATGAGTTGTGAAGTAGAAAGATGTCTCATGGCTACCAAGATATCCAATAATTTTTTGAAGGCCTTGAGAGAGAACAGTCGTTATTTCCATAACTTTGTGCATCAAAAGTAAATTAAACTCAAATTCAAAACATGGAAAGTGTCTATACACACTACGAACTTCTGCCCATGACCTCACTTTTGTGCAATTAATGTTTTTGAAGATCCTCAAACACTTTACAAGTTGATGTGAACATGCTAATCAAGCCGTTATATTATATACTAAGTTGGAAGTGATGTGTATAACATTTTGATTAGATTTTTAAATGATAAGAATTTGATTTATGGGTTGGGCTGAAAAATTTGAGTGGGCTATAAAAATATCTGGGGTGGGCTGGATGGAATTTTATCAAAATAATACCTTAATAATAATAATTTTTTTTACTTTGCCCTGGGCTTCAGCCCACCATAGCCCTAACATAGATCCTCCCCTGCCTAAAAGTTTGATTACTGCAAAGAGCTCTTTCGTAGTTCACGCTTTGTTAAAATAAAATTGCTAAAAACTAAAACTCCATGTTAGATTAGAATTCCGCGATCTTAAAGTTTGGAATTCTTTGAAGGCCACGGTTAATGGAAGGCATGAAAAAATGTGATCCGGTAACTTAATGACTATAATTATATTCAGATATAACTAGTATAGTACCCGTGCGATGCACGGGATATTATTCTAATATTAATATATAAAACATAGTTTGATTCAATAAAAAAACAAATACTTTTTTATTCGTACATACAGAGAATGAATTTTGAATGTTTATTGGGTGTTTTGATTGATTTTGTTTCTACTTCTTTTTAAAAAGAGAAGCAAAATAAGTTTTCAATAGTTATTTTCCACTATCTTTTAAAAAACTACTTGTATGAATAAATTGGAGCACCCGAAAGCACTTTTACACTTTTATCCAAATATTCTAAAATCTGTACAAAAGTACGTTTGCACTTTTATCCAAATATTTTAAAATATGTTTCTACTCTTGGAAAGAGCAAAAGTTCTTTTAAAAAGTATATCCAAACACCCTCTATAATTGCCATTAGAGATATCTTCTAAAGGAGTGCCATAATATTAGAATTTCCCACAAATAAATAAATTGGCTAAATAATAACAAATGTACAATGTGTGATTCAATGAATAAAACCTCAAACGACAACAACAAAGTAATAGTCAGCCCAATAATACCCTCACAAATTGGTTTTGGTTAGACCTGCTCAAAATGTAAAGGATCGGAGTATGTAAGGTTAGACTATAGTAGGGAGTAGTAACCAGCTTCTTTATACCATCCACACATCACACATCATAAATTGAGTCGGCATTTATGTTGACTTCTATCATAACTGATTGCCACTGGTAATCGAACACATACATCAATCAATATGAGAAAAAATGCAAATTAACATAGAATAGTTCTAAAAAAACAACCAAACCATAGAATAGTTCTCCTATATATCCTTCATTGACTTGTGTTTGTTCTGCTCCATATATTCATTCTCAGTGCTTTGAAAGTTGCTTTACAAACTATGGCTATAGCATTTTGAGAAAGTTCAATAGCAAATTAGGTGTAAACTAAAATAAAGAAAAATTGAATAGACTGTGAGACAAAATATGGCCTCTTAAATGTCAAAGTTCAAACAATATTCGGGACAGTTTCAGAAATTAAAATAATATGAGATGTAACCAATCACAATACTCCATCAAGTTTAATTCATATCATTTCTCACTTTCATCTCATGAGTTTTCAAATAGTTCACATACGTTGTGCATGTTTCTTCGTCCCATTCAATACACAACAATATCAATAACGGTGGTGTAGAACCTGTGTCCCGATTCTATATTTGAATCACTATTATGCACATTGGGTGAAGTAATGGAGTTGCATAGAAATGATAAGAATGAAGGTTTTTGTATGGTTATATTGTTTTTTTTTTAAAATTTTATCAATCAAATCAATAAATATATCCAATCTGAAATGTTGCATTGAAGCATCTAATCATAGAATACAGATCTTTTCAAAAAAAAAATCATAGAATACAGACTGTAATTGCGTTGAAGCAAACAGTTCAAATTACAGTCTTTAACAACAAAACTGAAAAGTAAAATAACCAATAATAGCTTCTAACACAATTCGAACAACACCACACTCTACTTCAAAAATCAAAAACAAAAATATAAGACACAATTGCCTCTTTCAAAGAACAAACCTAACTGAAATCTGAAAATTTCACCTTAATCATAATTATATATAAAAACACTATTTATTATTAGTATATACGTAGTAATTTGTATTTTAATAAAACATACTTTTTCTTTTATCGTTGATTAAAATCCTTACATATTTCGATGTATAGACGCAAGATTTAGCAAGAATACAACTTAATCACTCACCGTATGGAAGAGTACACATTAATTTAAGTGCTCTCCTGCAGATATTACAATGAAAATTAACACCTGCTACGTGTTAGTGGAGTGAAGCTCTATGAAGACTTTTTTTTTGCATAGCTCCGTAATGCCTCCGTTGTAGCAAATAAACTGGAATTGAGCTTTGTGCAGACCTTATTGGAAGGCATTTTATTTTATAGAAAAAGACGGCAGCCTAACACAGTAACACTTTAAAGAAGGGATGCCACACACTTATTGAAAATGGAAATGATTTAAGAATTCCTCATAAACTCAAGATTTTGCTTTTGAAGATTGCCAATTTGCTATCGCATCTGGTTGCTGATGTGAAGAATATCACCCTTTTTATAATTGATTTGATTTTTAATAGCTGCAAATTAATTACATCGAGCCACTAAACACAATAATTATTCTAGAACTTTGTAAAGATACTTTAATTTGCTTTGGTAGGCTTCCACATCTATTGCTCGGTATCATTTTGTTTATTGAAACATGAACACCGTAATTAATTAACTCTACCACTTCAATAAAATAAACTTTTCTAAATAATTAACCAAAATCGGCCAAACAAATCCATCTACAGTATTCCCGCCCAAAGAGTGCTGCCACTATTTTGTTTTTATATATATATATATATAGATATATAGATGTTACATCATAGTGATAATAAAACTTACATATTTTTAAACTCGGCAGGCAGACCACCAAAATCAGTTAGGTAAATGTCGGTGAATATTTATCAGGCTTTATTAAAAATATAATAATAATAAAATACAACAGTGACACGGAGACTAGGCCAATACCTCTCATAAGAAGACATACCTTCTTAAAAAACGGGGAAAACCAAAGTACAAGTATTAAAAAACAGATGGCGAAATTGGGGGCTGGGGCTATATGCCTATACCTGACCAAATTCACCTAACAAAATTTTCGGAAGAAGAAAATAGATGGATAAATAACTAATGAGAAACTCGGATATCGGATATTTCAAACAAGTCCATGTAGTATGCATTTTTAACCTGGGCCGGTAGCTGAATGGGCCGAATAAAGGTTTGATGTTGGGCTGTGGCATACTCAGCCTAGTAGTGCGCCGTCCAATTTGCTTCACGCCAGGTATGGGAAAAGGAAACTCCGCCAGGGCCGGTCCTGGGGCATGGGCAGGAGGGGCATGCACCCAGGATCCTTTGCTCCAGTAAGGCCCATAAATTTCTCAAATATATATATGTGTGTGTACCCCGATATTTTAATTATATGTACATTCTAAATCTATAAAAGGTAAATAAAATCAAACATATATTTTTTTTTAGATACTTCTAATTAGTTATTAAGCATCTACACAATACAAGTCTATAATTTCGAAACATCCACATTAAAATTCATTGGGAACATATTTCACCATTTCTTTTAAATCATTACGGATTATTGCATTAATTTTAATCTTTTACTGTACATGTTATCCAGAATTTATTGATATATTTCACAAATTTCCTCCGATTTTCTCATTTAGTGAAAGATTGAACTTTAGTGGCCATAATTTAGAAACGTAGAATTTGTTTTGTCTAGTGAAAATGTGATTTAAAATATGAAAAAGTTATTCCATATACAAGATATAATTTCACAACTTTCCTTAATTCAAAATTTTATAGCACCTAATAGTTGCACTACTTGTTTCACCCGACTCTTAGATACATTGTATCCTCGAATGTCATTTACCAAATATGCTACAACAGCAACAACAACATCCAAACCTTAGTCCCAAAAGATATTGGGGTCGGCTAACCAAATATGCTATATATAAATTTTCTTACCATATGCTTTGTTAGTTTTTTTGATGTGTTATACTAGTATTTGGATGATAAAATTGTATAATTTTAAATTATACTCCTTCCGTCCCGCTAAAATTGTCCCATTTTATCTTTTCGGGATGTCCCACTAAGATTGTTCCATACCAAATTTGGTAAAGTTTGTGTGACTCGAAACCATTCTTACTTTATTCTTACTTTATCGATTTAATATCAACTACACAAATTCCCTTTTCTTAATAACCGTGCCACTTTTTCATGTCTCAATCTTAGTGGGACGGAGGTAATAGATTATTATAGCAAAAAGAACATTATTAACATTCTCGCGCTATCCCTGAGGCCCAGTCTATTTGTACTGTCCCGGGCCCATTAAATGTCAGGACCGGGCCTGAGTAACTCCGCTGAGAGTAGATAGAGCGACCATTTCACTAATTTCATCTTTCCATCTTCCATTACCACCCTCTTCGATTTAATTCAGAGCTTCCAACGAGCCCATTTCAACACGAAAGCCAACATATCCAGCACGAACTATCCAGATCGTCGTAGTAATTACCGCCTGGAGCTCCATAAATTTTGTATTGATAATATTTCAGGAAAAACTCTTATGAATATCTATAAACGTAAAGGAATTCTGTGGAATGAAAAATTCAAACTCTCCGTAAATAGTGTCTTTAATTAGCATTTCCAATTTTGAAACTCTCAGTGTATGTTTTGGATCATTTGGAACATAATATGAATAATATTAAGTAATTATTCAAAAGGAGGGATACAGAAAATGAAAAAATAAAAACTGTATTTGAGGTTTGCACAGATCAATATTTCTTAAATTTTTTGCCTTAAACATGTAACACCCCGGCCCCGCAGGACCCGAGATAGTTACTCGGGACCACTAATACTGTCCCCACAAACCACCACGAGCTTTTACCGCGCACTTTGTGCTCACTCATGCGCGCCCTGAGAAACTTCCCAGGAGGTCACCCATCCCAAGACTACTCCCGTGCAAGCACGCTTAACTTTGGAGTTCTTGGGTGATGAGCTCCCTTAAAAGGAGATGCATCTCTGTTGGTATGAGTAGTATTATTAATCCATTTATATTAAATCTCAAGTGTTACAAAACATCCCTTTCAACGATCAAAGAAAAAAGGAAAATGGTGAAATAGATCATTCTAGGAAAAAGTCTGTTTATTTGAAAATTAATACTCCCTCTGTCCCTAAATTTACTTCCATTTCGCTTTTCGAGAGTCAACTTAAATCACTCTTTAAACTCTTACTTTTTGTATCAAAACTTTATGAAAATTGATTTTTTTTGCAGGCTTTGTAGCGGGTTTAATGTAGTTTCTGAATATGTAAATTTTATTTACTAAAAATATTCCAAGTTTTCACAGGGATCATTTAACTTTATCGTCGGTCAACCTTCGTAATCCGCAATTGGAACAACATTCAGGGACGGAGGGAGTATAAGAGATTGTTACTTTATAAATGCCAGCTGTTTTCTCAATAAGGTGTTACAATTTATGCTTTTGTTGTGGTTGCAAAATTGACATGTTTATTTTGACACAATTAGTTATAAAAGAATTCAAGTCCTTTTGATTATTAGGACTTGATTGTTCTCTTCGGATCACACATAATAATAGTATACATGTATGGTCATTGGCGTGTTGCTACTAATCTACTACGGGCAATACGAGATACGAAGTATGTTATTTGTTATTTATCTGTTTTTCTGAATGTGTTATTTGGCATTTTTAATGAGCATTTGACCAATAGAAATGTGATAAAAATAAACATTGTCCAATTAAAGTCTCCAATCTTCTTTTATTAAATAGCACTTATTTTATCTTTTAAGATCATAATAGCCTTCGTAAAAAAGATCATAATAGCCTTAATAACTCTAATCAAAATAAGCTTATTTTCATTGTTATTGTCTAGAGACCCACCAATTAATGTCGTGCAACCTACTATCGTTGTCGTTGCCACTATAAAATCTAAAGACGTACCGCAAAACTTTTTATAAATTTAGAAGGTAAATCACCAAAATAAATGAGGCAAGTCCCGGACTTCCGATTGTCATTTACCAAGTATAATAAATAAATAAATAAATAAATAAATAAAAAGAATTTTACATGGGGACAAAAATGAAAATAATTAGAGAAAATAAAATCCAAAAATGACAACATTAATTAAATTAAAGATGTAAAGAATATCCTCATTGAGTCCATGAAACCTTTTACAATGATGGCAGTTCATTGTGAGTCTATGAAGATTGAAAAGATGACGTCAGCGTTCAGTGCGATCCTTTGATGAGATGGTGAACTACCAAATTAAGATCGAGCTGTGATGCAACACCTTCATTCAATCATTCACTCTCTTTAGGTACCATGGAGCAACGAACACCTACACTTTTACATTTTATCACGTGCACGGTACGGGTAAAAATACTACGGAGTAGTAGTTATATATTTCACTAATTAAAAAGTTGATATCATATAAATAGGTGTTGGTATTGCCATAATAGAAATATCCTTATATAACTTCTTGAAATAACATTACAGCCAAATAAGCACTTCTCATTTTACTCTGAGTAAAATGTAAGTTAATTAAATTGCAAATATAGGAGTAATATTGGACCAATTCCTTTCCAACAACCATGTAAGTAGCTGCATATTAATATAATTTTAATGAAAAATAACTGAAATCAAACAAGACATTAAATATTGATTCTTGTTTTTTTTTTTAGATTTGAGGAGTTGAATTAAAATACATAGAAGACTTTGAGTGTAATACATAACGTAAAAGTTATTCTAAATATGTGTAATTAGTAAAACTAGTGGGAAGTGCATTTAATGCGGTACGAGCAACAACATTATTGCAGCAAGTGGACGACGAGATTGCTCAATCAACGGGAAGGCAACACATCATCAAGCTCATACCGTCCGATTAGCATAAATACCTCGTCATTATTTCAGTGAGGGGTGTTACTGAATTGGCGCACATTAAATAACATTTACTCTCTACACCAATCAATAACTATTGTAGTGATTGGTAAAACAATTATATGTAGATCATAACAAGTTCTAAGCGAATTGTAATAGTTTTTTAAATAATACGGACCAAATACATATATCCCGATCATGTGTTATATAATTCCTTACATCCAAATTGAATAGCAGATCATCCATAAAAAACACTTTGCTTTGCGCAGGTCTTATGGTATCAGATGAGTTGTCATCAATACACATAAGTTATCATTCATCATCTTACTTTACTTTACGTACGTCTTCATGGTACCGGAGCCATTATAGGATCTGTACGGATCAACAATGGTGATATGCGCTATTTATTAGTGCATAAACACCACATTTTGAAATGATTTTATGTTATCTTTTACTCAACTTTTGTACAATTATGGTTTAATCTTTATCTTCTAAATAAGACTACAATTAGAAGATATTAAGAGATTTTGACATGTAAGAATGAAACGTGATAAAAAGAAAGAGGAAGAATCTTGGGAGCAG